ACACTATCAGAGGCTCGTTCACCTGCACATCTACCAATGTGATATATGCCATCATGTGCCAGCAATGCCCCTCTGCCACGTACATTGGTCAAACTGGACAGTCTCTACGTAAAAGAATAAATGGACACAAATCAGATGTCAAGAATTTTAACATTCATAAACCAGTCGGAGAACACTTCAATCTCTCTGGTCACTCGATTGCTGACCTAAAAGTGGCTATTCTTCAACAAAAAACTCCAAAACCAGACTCCAACGAGAGACTGCTGAATTGGAATTAATTTGCAAATTGGATACAATTAACTTAGGCTTGAATAGAGACTGGGAGTGATTGAGTCATTACACAAAGTAAAACTATTTCCTTCCCCCCCCCCCTTCCTCAGACGTTCTTGTTAACTGCTGGAAATGGCCCACCTTGATTATCACTACAAAAGGTTTTCTCCCCCTCCCCCACTCTCCTGCTGGTAATAGCTCATCTTAAGTCATCACTCTCCTTACAGTGTGCATGATAAACACCAATTTTTTCATGTTCTGTGTGTATATAAATCTCCTCACTGTATTTTCCACTGAATGCATCCGATGAAGTGAGCTGTAGCTCACGAAAGCTCATGCTCAAATAAATTGGTTAGTCTCTAAGGTGCCACAAGTACTCCTTTTCTTTTTGCGAATACAGACTAACACGGCTTCTACTCTGAAACCAGTAAAATCATGTTAAGTTTAAGATTTTTTATAAAATCTGTGTATATTTTGCAAATATGAGTAATTTTATAGGTCTTTATGTCTCTATATACTTGAAATTTAATCCTGAAAAATCTATTCTGCATTCTTATTGTGTGTTTGGACAATTTGTAACTTTTAGTATGAAAAAGTTTGCAGAGGTTGATCTGCTCCATTGAAAATGATTTTGCAAAAGATTAGATACAAACAATTTGTTTTTTAATGTGGATTTTTTTTTACTATATTTGGAACCTACACTGTCACTTTAAGTAAGAATGACCAAGGTAATAAAAATCACTAAAAGGGTAAGTCTCAAATTTTATAAGGGAAAACCAGATTTTATCAGCAAGAGTGAGCTTAAAAAAAATAAATCAATTTCAATTAAAACAACTGATGTAATCACTAAATTTACAAGTAGCTGCTCATTCATTTATTAGTAAAGAAAATAATATAGAGCATAAATTACAAAACTGGAGGTTGCTATTTTAAAAAGTAGAACCCTATTGCTCATACAATTTGTGTGCACATTTGTCTTCATTTGCACATGTATTATCCTAATTGCTTAGTTATCTAATTATTTCTGAATGCAAATTCCTGATTTGCGTAAACATTCATTATAACTGCATGCCAGCAGCACAGCCACAGTTGGGAGAGACCAGGAATGAGAATAAATGAGTCCTTGCTTTCTTAAGTAAGTGGGACATCAACAGTAAAACGTTAGGAGATATATCCCCTGGTGGAACTTATGCTAACAAAAGTGTGCAACTACAGGCGAACTAATGTGTGCACAGCAATGCACACAGACCTCAAGCTTCTGTTCATGAAAATCAGGCCCTTCAGGTTTGTGGCTTGAAAACTGTAAATGATATTTATTTAATAACTACAACCTGTGTCATTTTCTCTCTTATGCACATTTTCATTATAACTTAGGGAAAAACAAAGCGTATATTAGAATTAGTAATTACTCATCTTCTGCCTAAATCTATATTGCATTATCTTATGAGAGGGGAAAATATCTTCCTTATATATGAGAGTTTTAAGCATTTTTCTGAGGCATGAATTATTAATGAAGACCCTTAATGTAATGGAGTAGCTGCTCAAGAAAATCATGCCTTACAATGAATCTTGAGCGCAAGTTGCAAAATTCATGTTGCGTGCCAGGTTTTTAAATTGTAAGTAAAAATTGCACTTCAAAAGTAAAAGTAATTACCTTCCAGGTTAATGTTCAACTAAAACTCTTCTTACCCTCATGAGATGGAGCAAGATAATAATTATAGATCAGCAAATTGTATTTCTGCTCAAAGACAGTAAGTGATGGACAGAGCCATTGTTAAAAGGCCCCTCACATCTGGTGAAATCTAGCACTGATTTTCAGTTTGCAGAAGTAACTCTGTCGTATGGAATTTTAATGTATGTTTTATAGCTTTCAGTACAATGGATTGTCAATTCCTAATAGGCGATAGCAGCCTTTGAAAGTAGCAGGAACTCTTGTGGAGCTCTTTCATTGTTTGAAAATGTCCTCTCAAGTACTTGCAAAAAGAACAGGAGTACTAGTGGCACCTTAGAGACTAACCAGTTTTTTGAGCATAAGCTTTCGTGAGCTACAGCTCACTTCATCGGATGCTTATGCTCAAATAAATTGGTTAGTCTCTAAGGTGCCACTAATACTCCTTTTCTTTTTGCGAATACAGACTGACACGCTGCTACTCTGAAACCTCTCAAGTACTTGTTACTCTTCACTGGATAGAACCATACCTTAAACAGAGAGGGAGTGATTTTAATTTACACTAAGGTCACTTTATACTCCTGTAGCAGTGTAAAACAAAGTGCTAGAGCAGTGTAACCTAGCTCATAACATGCCTAAACTCTTACGCTGTTCTCTGACTGTCAATATTAGAGATTTGACATGGAGATGTTTAAAAATGATCTGACATGATTTTAGCTTGTCATGGTTAAAAATCATCACAAGGGAAAGAAAAAATGCCTTTCTCTCTGAAAGCCACCCAGCTATTACGGGTGGTGGACGTGGCAGAAAAATCTACATAAAAATGGGGAACCACGTGTAAGCCTTGCCCTGCTCCTGTGTAAGTCAATCATAAATTCCCATTGTTTTCAGTGGGAGCCCATTTGGGCCAAAGACAGAGGCAGGCCCTGCCCACGCTCTTTACCTCTGGATCTGAAATTGCCCAGGTCCAAGGTTTTGGTTGAGGCGTCTTGCAAATGGTGGTAGATCCCTTTCAGTAGACGACTGCTCTTCTCGGGGGAGGCCAGGAACGGGGATAGTAGGGTACTGACTAGTCAGGGCTGAAGCGTGCACTCTATGGAAAAGTCAGCACGTGTGTCAGACTGTGAAATCACTAGGTTATGTGCAAGAGCAACCCTTTGTTATTCTCAGGTTCATAGAAAATAGTATGTAGCAGACCCTATTTGAGAGGCATTTAATCCTTAGCTCTTAGCGTTGTGAATCTCTATAGCTGCCAAAATAGGATGTATTGGGTCCCTCCCCCCAGTAATAGTATACACAATGGCAAGGGTTCCCAAACTGGGGGTTGGGACCCCTCAGGGGGTCACAAAGTTATTACATGGGGGTCACGAGCTGTCAACCTCCACCCCAAACTCCGCTTTGCCTCCAGCATTTATAATGGTGTTAAATTTAAAACACTTTTTAATATATTTATAAGGGGGGGGGGTCACACTCAGAGGCTTGCTATGTGAAAAGGGTACACCAGTACAGAAGTTTCAGAACCATTGCACTATGGGCTAAGTTGTGTAGCCTTTACTTCTGCTGGTGAGCATTCAGAGTTTAAGGTCAGAAGGGACCACCAGATAATGAGGTTTAATTTCCTATATATCACAGGCCTCCAGGATCCACACATTAAACCCAACCACCAAAGTGAAACCAAAGTATTACAGCCCACAGGAGCCTAGACTATTATGTGCCACAGACAGAGACGAGGGAGAACTGAGGTGCACCACTGCCTGAGGCCCCTGCAATGGAAGGGAAATGAAGTGAAATAGATATCCTGGCAACTGACCCTCACACACTCATTGCAGAGGAAGGCAACCCCCCTCCAAAGTCACTGCTGGTCGGACCTGGCAGAAAATTCCTTCCTGACCTCACACAGGGCAATCAGTTAGACCTTGAGCATGTGAGCAAGAACCAGACAGCCAAGTACCTGCTGACATCTCAGAGCACTGTCCCTTCCCCATCCTGTGTTCAGTCCCTAGCCATGGCCATCTCTGATGCTTCAGAGGAAAGAGACCATCTCCTCCAGGATACATAATGGGGAATCCCTGCCTCACCCCTACAGGGAGCTGGCTGATGCCCTGAAGCATGAGCTTTCAGGAACATAAAACAAACTGAAAGTGAGTCCCCACCTCCCCCCACCACAAGCAACCCCATCATCCAATTGCACCTACAAGTTTCTCCAGCTCTCTCTGAAAGCTAATTAAGTTGTTTGCTCCCACAACTCTTACTGGGACGCTGTTCCAAAACCATACCCCTCTGATGACTGGAAACCTTCTTGTAATTTCCCGTGCAGGGTTACAGCATTTCTACCATGTAACTCATAACACCCTCCTCCCTGCAAGGAGAACAGAAGGTGCCCTCTCTTTGGCCAGTTCCTTAGCCACATTACAATTCTTGTAGTGATCCACAGACATCTTTGATGACACTGATTTCAATAGGACTATGCATGTGAGTAAGCCCTTACCCACACGAGTCAAGGTTGAATACCTAGCTTTGTCAATGTGTATGCATAACTTTAGGGTCAGAGCTTCAGCTAGTGTAAATGAGTTACCTGCACTGACTTGCTGATGTATACCAGCTGAGGACTTGGCCCATAGTGTAATCTCACTATGCATATTACCAGGTCACAAGATCACAAGTGATCATTACAAGATCGCTTGAGTGTATACAGCTCCTTGTATTGTTTGCCTAGCTAGATATGTATGTACCATAGAATCTATTATCCACCTGGGTTTACTTATTGTTGAGATTGAATTTTTATTACCATTGCATAAACATGGCTTATATTAACATGGGCAGATTCTGCCAGCGTGACTTGCACGGAACAGTGCTTTACTCTGAATAGACAAACTGAAATTAGTTGGACTGTTTGGTGAGTAAGATACTTAACATGAAGTGCCGCCTTAAGACCATAATCATTACAACTTCATAATATGTTTTGACAGTTATAATTAGCATCTATCGATAGCAAAATATGTGTTTAAAATATTAAAATCATCTTTGCTACATTTCCAGCCCCACTGAACAAGTCACTTACTTTGAGAAGTCTGAGTCGCTATAAATTTCTTTATCAAGGCATCAGTAGTTTGTGTATAAAGGCTAAGAGCATATCTCAGAGACTGTAGATCTGGGCTCTTCTCCAAGAAATTCTTTTTCAGCCCATTTCCTCCAGCATGAAAGTATTGCTAAAAAAGAAAAACATAGGTAAGGCATTGAGAGAAGTAAATTATCTGATAAAAGTCTCTAGGTAAGACCTGATGTTTATATAGCAATATCTAAAATAAAACTGATTAATGCAGTGCTTAAAATTTACAATTTGTATCTTTGGGGATAGTTGTTATTGTCCACATTACAGTTTTTGTGTGGATTTCCCCCCTCTCAAACAAAACACTTAAGTGTTCTTTTAATCCCTCTTAAAATGTATATAACTCAAAAATAGTTAAATGTGTGGGGTTTTTATGTTCATGTAGTTACACCTCAAAACTAGGGTTTACAGTGCAACTACAGGAACAAATTTCTTTTGACAGCATGTTTGGTGTGGTAGAAATCTGTCCAAGTGTAGTACTAAGACACTGTTCGGCAGAAAGGTGTAATTTATGGTGGGAATCCTTGGATTGGATATGGTGACAAATTTAAAGAATAGCTAGAGCTCCAGTGGAGGATTAGGATGGCTTTCTAGTCTTCCAGTCTTATTCTACTCTGTAAAATTGGCATTGTGAGTTTCCATGGTTATTGTCTACAATGTCACAGCAAACCTGGTGTCTGAACTTTGTGACTTTGTTGTCACGCACAACTATTTCAGATTTCAGGACAATTTATACCTTCAAGTCAGCAGTACTGCTATGGGTACCCGCGTGGCCCCACAGTATGCCAACATTTTTATGGCTGACTTAGAACAATGCTTCCTCAGCTCTCGTCCCCTAGTGCCCCTACTCTACTTGTGCTACATTGATGACATCTTCATCATCTGGACCCATGGGAAGGAGGCCCTTGAGGAATTCCACCCGGATTTCAACAATTTCCACCCCACCATCAGCCTCAGCCTGGACCAGTCCACATAAGAGATCCACTTCCTGGACACTGCAGTGCAAATAAGTGATGGTCACATAAACACCACCCTATACCAGAAACCTACTGACTGCTATACTTACCTACATGCCTCCAGCTTCCATCCAGATGACATCACACGATCCATTGTCTACCGCCAAAACCTCAGATACAACTGCATTTGCTCCAATCCCTCAGACAGAGACAAACACCTACAGGATCTCTATCAAGCATTCTTAAAACTACAATACCCACCTGGGAAAGTGAAGAAACAGATTGGCAGAGCCAGAAAGGTACCCAGAAGTCACCTACTACAGGACAGGCCCAACAAAGAAAGTAAAAGAACACCACTAGCCATCACCTACAAGTCAAATCTCTCCAGCGCATCGTCAAGGATCTACAACCTATCCTGAAGGACGATCCCTCACTCTTACAGACCTTGGGAGACAGGCCTGTCCTTGCTTACAGACAGCCCCTCAACCTGAAGCAAATACTCGCCAGCAACTACACATTACACAACAAAAACACTAACCCAGGAACCTATCCCTGCAACAAACCCCGTTGCCAACTCTGTCCGCATATCTATTCAAGAGACACCTCCATAGGACCTAACGACATCAGCCACAGCATCAGGGGCTCATTCACCTGCACATGTACCAATGTGATATATGCCATCATGTGCCAGCAATGCAACCTCTGTCATATATATTGGCCAAACAGGACAGTCTCTATGCAAAAGAATAAATGGACTCAAATCAGACATCAAGAATTGTAACGTTCAAAAACCAGTAGGAGAGCACTTCAATCTCCCTGGACACTCAATAACAGACTTAAAAGTGGCCATTCTCCAACAAAAAAACTTTCAAAAACAGACTTCAATGAGAAACTGCAGAACTGGAATTAATTTGCAAACTTGACACCATCAAATTAGGCCTGAGTAAAGACTGGGAGTGGCTGGGTCACTACAGAAAGTAATTTTCCCTCTGTTGATACTCACACCTTCTTGTCAACTGTTGGGAATGGGTCACATCCACCCTCGTTAGCACTCTAAAAAGTAATTTTCCCTCTGTTGATATTCACCCCTTCTTGTCAGCTGTTGGGAATAGGCTACATCTACCCTATCTGAATTGGCCTCATTAGCACTGACTCCCCACTTGGTAAGGTAACTCTGATTTTTTCAGGTTTCAGAGTAACAGCCGTGTTAGTCTGTATTCGCAAAAAGAAAAGGAATACTTGTGGCACCTTAGAGACTAACCAATTTATTTGAGTATGCACTAATATATATACCTGCCTATGGTATTTTTCACTCCATGCATCTGATGAAGTGGGTTTTAGCCTACAAAAGCTTATGCCCAAATAAATTTGTTAGTCTCTAAGGTGCCACAAGGACTCCTCAATGTTTTTTGTCTCTTAGGGCTAGATTGTGACCAGCCCTAATGTGGCCATGCAGGGAAGTAAAACCCCACCCCTATGTACAGTGTTAGGGCTACCCATTACATCTGGGGTATGGAAAGAGGGGATGGGGGGAGGAGGGGATGAGCACAGTAAAAATTCCCCCTAAAGTAGAGTAAGCTGCATCCCAAAAAGGGGAAATAACTTACTGTCACTTCCAGCTCAAAAGACAGGGACAGAAGATGAACTGTGACGCTGAGTCACAGTTCCTTTCTGATTCTCCTCCTGGGGTGGTGCAGCTTCGTGCCACCTCCAAGCAGGGCTGTGCCCAAAGGCTCAATCTTAAATCACTCTGAGTATATATCAAATATACCATTTGCAAGTAAAAAGATTTTCTTTCTTAATTGCCATCCTTGCTTTAATTCCAAAAAGCCTGGGTTTGAAAACTGAAGCAGGATTCTCTCCTCCTTGCACATAACACCAATACTGAAGGCCCTCTGTGATACCTCTGCTAATCAGTCTCATCCCCAGGGGTTCTTCTGATAGCTTCACAAAGGTTGGCGTGGGCGGGCCATAAGGGGACTATAAGGTAAGACATGAATGTTCTAGAGCAGTGACTCTCGATCTTTCCAGACTACTGTACCCCTTTCAGGAGTCTGATTTGTCTTGCGTACCCCCAAGTTTAATCTCACTTGAAAACTACTTGTTTACAAAATCAGACAAAAATACAGAAGTGTCACAACACACTATTACTGCAATATTGCTTGCTTTCTCGTTTATACCAGATAAGAAAATTAATCGGAATATAAATATTGTACGTACATTTCAGTGTATAGTATATAGAGCAGTATAAACAAGCCATTGTATGAAACCTGTTGTGAAACTAGGCAAATACCTAGCTGAGTTAATGTACCCCCTTGTTGAGAACCACTTTTCTAGAGCTGAAGAAGGCCACCAAACAAGGAGCTGTCTCCAAAGTGTAACCCAGGACAATGATTTGCAGAGTAAAGGAAAGTTGGATGATGTTGGAAACCACCCTCAGCCTATGGAGAAGAGATGTAAATGCTGTACAACGTCAACACCAGTTTGTAGAAGCTTTTTGGCTTTCTTCATGTTCTAGGAATCAAGGTCCACATAGATAATTCTCATGCAACAGTTAATTAGAAGGAAAACAAAGAAGAAATGAGTGTTTAGGAGGATATTGGGGCTACTTGAAGGCAGCTTGAGACACCATATGCACTCTAGGATATAGATCTAGAGTTAGACATCCTTTCTGCACCAGTGTTGGTTGAGGAATACAGCCCATTGCTGTGTTCTAGTTCATATGGCTCAGCAGAACTGTAGTATGTATCTGTGGCAAAATAGATAAGCAAATCGCAGCATGTTGGCTACCAGTTCATCCACACATCTGCTGAGGCTTAAGGTCAATGGAAAAGTTGCTTTATATGTGCTTTGATCATCTATGCTACTTTTTTCAACAGGGCAGTAGTTTCAAGTTAGCATTGCAGGTGAAGTTTGGCAATTATGCAGAAAATTTTCTTTCTGAGACCAAAAAGCAGAGGCTTTCTTGTATTTAGCCATGTTCAAAGGATCAGCATGAAAGGATGCAGCTGGAGCTACATGTATCATTCCATGATGGATGTAGGGGTAAACAGAAGAGTGGAGTGGCCAGGGGCCCTGGCTGGCAATTCTCTCAGATGCTCTCTGGGAATAATAGGCTTGGTTTCCTTGTAGTTTGTTTCATGGAATAGTATGGGACTGTCGACCTTATGAATCTGCTTTAAAAGTCAACCGACACCTCGTGTTCCACTAACAGCGGTACACCCATGCTGTACCCAGGAGCAATGTAGTAATGCTACCTCCACTACCCTAATTTTATGAAGAATTCAATGGAAGTGTGTAATCATGTGAATTCCCAATTGTGACAGGGTCGGGCCAGATGACTAAAGGAGAGTAACAGAAGGCAGATATATTAGCCCCAGGTTAAGTAGGTCCCTTTTCCCTGGGTAAGGAAACAGGGAAGGTTCCAGAACAATCAGGAACCTTCTGGAGACAATTAAGACAGGCTGATTAAAACACCTGCAGCCAATCAAGAAGCTGCTAGAATCAATTAAGGCAGGCTAATCAGGGCACCTGGGTTTAAAAAGGAGCTCACTTCAGTTTGTGGTGCGCGTGTGAGGAGCTGGGAGCAAGAGGTACTAGGAGCTGAGAGTGAGAATGTGGACTGTTGGAGGACTGATGAGCACAAGCATTATGAGACACCAGGAGGAAGATCCTATGGTGAGAATAAAGAAGTTATTGGGAGGAGGCCATGGGGAAGTAGCCCAGGGAGTTGTAGCTGTCACACAGCTGTTCCAGGAGGCACTCTAGACAGCTGCATTCCACAGGGCCCTGGGCTGGAACCCGGAGTAGAGGGCGGGCCCGGGTTCCCCCCAAACCTCCCAACTCCTGGTCAGACACAGGAGGAGTCGACCTGGACTGTGGGTTCCCGAAAATGGCCAAATTGAGGGCTCCTGTGAAGCTCCGAGGTGAGCAAATTCACCAATAAGCGCAAGACGCACCAAGGTAGAGGAGGAACTTTGTCACACAATGCATTAGTTAGTAGCACACTTCTCAACTTCCTTTGTCTGGGATGTTTTAAAGTGTATGTATGTTTCCATCACACTTTTTAATCAATTTATCAATGAGCCCTAAAAATTGCTAATGATATTTCTTCATACCAAAATCACCCACTCTTCTTATCCTA